CATGTTTATGTAATCCCTTGTTGATGGAAGCAGAGAGAAGATAGTGCCTAACCATCCATTCAAGCATTGTGTTGTTACAACAGCCTCACGTCCAACAAAGCGCTGTGGTGTCCTCTTGTTCCCCTGAATCAATTTACCTCAAGTCACTGAATTCAACTATCTAAAACAGGCATTAAAAGAAACAAAAAGAAAAAGAAAACACGGGATTTTCATTCGATATAATACCTTTATGATAACCCGATCTGTCACAGCAAATGGAAACTGGACACCTCTACCCCTTGGTGGATCCATCATATTTGAGTCGCCGTAGTTGCTCTTATCCTACAAGAACAGACAAGTAAAAGAAAGAGTCATGCATGACAAAACAGAAGGGGCAACAGCAACGGCAAGTTGCCAAGTATAAAGAAAGATAATTGAAGTGCATGAAACACTGGAAACGGTTTAACAGAATGCTACAAGAGAATTTTGAAAGATAGTTCTTTAGAAAGCTAATAACACCAAAATGAGGTATGATAAAAGAGAAACCTGGTCAAATCTCTCTCTCCTCCTTTTAGGTGAGCGATAGAACTGTAACTCTTCTTCCCGACGGAATGCCTGCACTGCAGCTCGGAGAGCTGCGTCATGAACATCAACAAAACTAAATAAATAAGTCCATAGAATAGAAAATTTGTATACATAGCACAGCCCATGGATACTTTGTGCATTATTAAATCGTATAATAGCCCGGCCAATTATAACTTCATAATTTTCACCATGTGTTTGCCCCTTCCTCTGAATTATATCAAATAGCATCCACATCAATGTACACAATCACTACTTATCCAGAAATCCTAGGTTATCTTGACAAACCTTTTCATGTAATACATGTGAGACAGGGATGAAAATAGACATCCAAGAAAAATATAAGCTTGCAAAATGGCAACCTGGGAAACAGTGTAAGACACACAAAGATGGGATGCCTAACACCAATAGGATACTGGTCTATGCATATCATCATTGCATAGAAATATGTGCAAATTAGAGTAAAAGTTCACAAAACTAATCAAGATTCAAAAATTAAAGGGGGCAAAGATTTTCCTCTGAAACAGAAGAATATTACTTACAAAGATTTGGAGCCACCGACTCCTCTGATACTGAATGCGAACAAGTGTAGCAAACTTTCTGACAATGTATTCATAATATCACAATTAATATACAGTTACAACCATTGTTAACAAATGCCTGGCCGTAGGCTGACCAAGCAGTTTCAACCCAAAAGCCAGT